ATAGATAGATAGATAGATAGATAGATAGATAGATAGATAGATAGATAGATATCTTGGGGCCATGAAACGTGTTACATTCCTTCCCTGGACTGGCATCTTGACTGACTGCCCTTCCCATCCTGGTCCTCCCACATCCCACTATCTGCCAGAGGAAGTGGTCCTTTGGAATAGGACCAGTTTAGGGTGATATCATAAGCAAATATCATGGGAGCTCCTGGGACTGTGTTTCCAGCCCTACCTCCTCCCAAAGTTCTAACAATGCCTGACATCCAGAGGTGGAGGCAGTGTCTGAGTGGGAAGACCAGGAGCAGAGGAGTAACCAGGCCCCAAAAAACTGATAAGAAGAGGGAGGGGGTATTTCCCCTTTTTATTTTAGCTCTCTCCTATCTCAGGAGGGACTCTATGTCAACTATCACACACCCAGACCCATTCTCACAAATCTCTGTGTCCTTTCCTAGCTATAATGTAATACAGTAGAAACTTTTGGCACTGCCATTTACTATAAGTGTGACTTTGGATAAGTCACTTAACTGTTCTAGGCCTCAGTTTCCTCATCTATAAAATCATAGGATCATGGACTAAGAGCTGGAAGGGACCTTAGAGGTCATCTAGTACAACTCCCCCCACCTCATTTTATAGATGAGGAAACTGAGGCCCAGAGAGGTTAAGCCACTTGCCCAAAGTCACACAGGGAATAGCTGAGCAAGAAAATGAATCCCATCCTCTGACTCAAAAATCTCTTAGATATAGAGCCAGAAGGAATCTGAGGAGCCTATTTTGTTCAACCCCTCGTTTTATGGATGAGGGAACTGGAGCCCAATGATTTTTTTTCCAAGGATTCTCAGATATGTGGTAGAGCAGAGATTCAGAGCTGGGTTTTCTGGTTCCAGATTCTCCACTCTTTCCAGTGTACCACACTATCTCTCACACCTTTTCCACTTCCCCTCATGATGGGGGTTAGATCTAATGGTCTCTAAAGACCCTGCCAACTCTCTATCCTCACTGGGGCCAATCTCTGGTCACATTCATCCTCTCTTCCAAGAATTAAAGCAATGAAGTTCTGGTAATTGAAGGTTCTCCTTTCCCATTATCCCTCTTCTTCTTCTCTCTCCCCAGAATGTGCTTGAACTAAGTGTCTGTGATGAGGACTCACTTACCCCAGATGATCATCTCTTGACCGTCCTCTATGACCTCAGCAAACTCTGCTTCCGAAATAGGACCCATGTGAAATTTCCACTCAACCCTGAGGTGGGTAAAAGTACTCAAGGCACAGCATAGGTCCTTCATAGGATCACAGATAGTGTTGGAAGGGACCTTAGAGGTCATCTGGACCAACTCTTTCATTTTTACAGATGAGGAAACTGAGGCCCAGAGAGGTTAAGTCACTTGCCCAAATTTACCCAGGTAGTGCCTCCTGCTTCAAGAGGTGAGCAGCCTATCCCACCTTGAACCCACTCGGCAGGAACCTCAGACAGGTTGGGCAGACACAATACCACTAAACCAAAGTCTAGACTTGTACATTATGCCTAATTAACAGGGACAGACATGGTAGGAGAGAGACCTGGCTAATCTCCCATGTTCTTGGATAAATGTTTTTGTTTTTGAGACTGGGTCCCTTATCTTGCTCAAGCTAGAAGTACAGAGGTCATTCATGGCCCCAGTGTCAGTACTGGTTGGCATGAGAACATTTACCTGCTAATAAGGGAAGACAAAACATAAAGGGCTGCTGAAAGAGGATAGCGAGGAAGGAGGGTGCCCACATGAACCGGTAACCGTTGTGGAGACTGAGCAGACCAAAATGAACCTGAAGTGGAGAGTGAGATAATTAAGAAAAGTAAGTAAGGGTAAGAAAGTAAGTGTGGTTGGGCCTTCTCACAAGAGGAATTCCATGTAGGCACTCACCGATCACTGAGTTGGCCTCTAGATGGAGTCCGTGCTCAAGCGGTCTGTCCAAGGCAAAGTAGAGCAGGACAATCAGCTTCCTAATCCTAGAAGCTGTGCCTTTCTTAATGCAACCTAATATCTCATTAGCATTTTTTCAGTTGCTATCTGGCGCTGCTGACTCATATTGAGCTCTAAATACATCAAACTACTGTCTAGCTTTTCCCCAACCATCTTGCACTTGTGAAGGTGATTTTTTTTTTGTACCCAAGTGCAAGTGTGTTTTGGACTCCCATCCCATGAATCTTAGAGATTATTCCCTCCATTTTATAGATGAAGAAACTGTCTTAGAAAGGTGAAGTGATATAACCTTACTCAGCTTTATGTGCTTTATGACCAGATGTCAGATTCAAGTGTTGGTGAACCTGTCAGGGTCAATGACTTGGCATAAAGCAGTAACTAGTGGGGACATCACAGGTAAAGAAAAGCCTTGGGATTAATTATGTGTCAGAAAAAGAGGCCTCAAAATCACTTGATTTAGAGTTAAAGAGCTGAATTTTGAATTCTGGCTCTGCTACTTACTACCTGTATGACCATGGGCAGATACTTAACTTTGCTAGGTTTTTGAAACAGAAAGGCCAGATAAGGTGCTCCCTTAATGTTTCTTTTCTTTTCTTTTTTTTTTTTTTCTTGCTAGGGAATGGGGTTAAGTGACTTTCCCAAGGTCACATAGCTAGTAAGTGTCATGTCTGAGGTTGGATTTGAACTCAGGTCCTTCTGACTCCAGGGCCAGTGCTCTATCCACCGAGCCAACCTAGTTGCCCCTTAATGTTTCTTCCATTTCCAAGTCTATGATATGTGACTTGGGGGACCTCTCTGGGTCTCAGTTTTCTCATTGGTAAAGGATACTAGACTAGATAATTTCTGAAGTCCCTTCCAGCTTTAAATCTATGTTCTCTGCCTTCCTTTGGGGCCTTAGGCAAAGAATTTCACCTTTCTTCATCTATAAAATGAGAAAGTTGGATTAGATAATTGCTAAGGGCACCTCCAACTCTAGATCTTGCGATTTCCATAATCAGTGCTCCATCCTTCACAGACTGCAATAACAGCCCTTGTTAAGAGGGTAGAGGCATTCAGGTATCTGAAAAGCCAATAGCGCCAGTGTTTGCGAGGGCTTCTCTGGGGCAGGGAAATATCAGCTGAATAGGGTCATAACTCAGAGATGATTCCTTTCTTTCCTTTTCTCTTGGTAGGGCATGGAAGAACTAGAAGTGGAATTCTTGCTGGAGGAGAGGTGAGTGAGCTCCCTTATCACTCCAGAATGGTTGCTTCCCAAGTCTGGGCTCCTACTAGTCTACATATAAGTACTAAAGACAATGTTTTGAATATACTAAGTATATTCAATAGATATGTTGAATAAATAAGTGGATGCCTAGCAGGGTTTTAGAAATAACCTCCCTGCCCTTCCCCTTCCCCCCCATCTCTCTTCCCCCCAACCCCCATTCTGCCACCTCAGGTAGGCAAAATGGGATGATCATACCTCTCTTTAGTTGCTACTGGCTCATCTCCTTATTAATTCTTATCCTAAGTCCTAGGTCGATTAAGATATAGATATTTCCTCATAAATTAAGATAAATGCACAATTTCAGTAATCAATTAGTTCTGAGCCCCCATCCCAGATTATTAAATAAACTAGTGTCCTCTTTTCTCATAAGCTTCCACTCATTTCTTTCTCAATATCAAAACTCCTTATCTCATAGACTTAAATAAACATGGTGTCTTATTGTGGTCAGTGGTGATGCAGTGGATAAAGTACCAGGCCTGAAGTCAGGAAGACTTGAGTTGAAATCTGGCCTCAGACACTTACTAACTATGTGACCCTGGGCTAGTCACTTAACCTCTTTTTGCCTCAGTTTCCTCCACTGTAAAATGGGGATAATAATGGTGACTTCCTCCCAGAGTTGTTGTGAGGACCAAATGAGATAATAATTGTAAAGCGCTTAGTACACAGTAAGCACTATATAAATGTTAGTTCTTATTATCATATCGATGTTATAAGCTATATAGAATTAATTTATAATATAACCTAATATACACAAATATATGACATATAATGTCAATGTTATACACATATAATGTTAGTTGACTAACACTATGACAGACAACACAAAGATACATTTAAATATTTTCAACATTATATGACAATGAGGAAGATTACAACCAGTTACCTCTAGTTATCCCCTGCAACTGCAGGCTTTTCAACTCTGGAAAGATATTCCCACCGTTCAACTCTCTCTGGATAACAAAATCTCTCAATAATTTTCTTTAGGATTCCTCCTCTATAACATGAGTTAAACTTTGTTCTCTCAGGAAATGTCTCCAGTCTTTCTCCTTGATCATTAATTCACACAGATTCTCAGGAAATAAGTCCTTTTAGCACTTCTTGGCATCTCACACAGACTCTCTCCCACCATGACAATTAAACTCTCCAGAATGCTAGTTAAATTGCTACCCTCCCAAGATTCTCTTCCCTCTGAAAGATACTGGAAGACTATGCTTAGTCTCAGTGGGAGGGCCTGTGAAGCTGGGTTTATAAATGAATGATTCATTAAATTGATGTATCAATGGTAGTCCTTAGGCTGACACACCAGAAAGCTGATGCTGGGTGTGGGGAAGGTATTGTAGCCATTGTAGAGATCCTAGCCAAGAACTGACTCTGGGGAAAGGGGTGCTTCTGCAAGAAACAGTAGCTAACTGGGGGATTTAATCTTGTTTTTCAGCCCTACTGCACCTGAAAGCTTCCTCACCAATGGCGTACTAGTGGTAACTATCCCTCCCCAAGCAATTCTAGCTGAACAAGTTCCTGCAGTCCTGAAGGGGAAGCGGGGCTGTAAGAGAGGAAACTGACCGCAAGTTGGACCCTACGGACCCCACCGAAAAATCATACTCACTGTAGACTCCAAAGTGGGATTTTTATGGGACAGGTTGGAAGTGTGAAAAAATGAAGTAAATGGTTGGGAGGTTGGGGGCTTGGGGATGCACACTTGAGGAGAGATCCGTGATACCCTTTGCTGGTTATTTCATTGGTATTTCAGACGTATCCCCTTTAGGGTCCTTCAGCTACCCCAACCATCAGAACCATGCGCAGCCCTACTCTCAGCTAGTTTCCAGCAAAGGGAACACCCTTCCCTGGGGATGTGTGCATACCTATTCTGTTTGCTCCCTCGATGGTAATAATCGTGGAGATCTTTTGTTTCCCTAGTAATGAGCTCTTTTTACTGACCTCTCATACCAATAACTCAAATTCTCTTCATCCCAAATCTCTAAACGCAGACAAAGATTTCCAAGCTAGAGCTGTCACTCCAGGTGGTACAAGCAAATGTATTCAATAACCCAGCATTATAGGGCATCACAAAGACTTTGAACAGGCCCTAGGATCTTGTTGTAAAGGGATCTGATCTGTTTCTGCCACCTCCTCATGATTCTCCTCTTCACCCACCTCCCCCAAAGTCTTGTTTGTTTGCATAGGAACACAGATATAAATAGCTACCCATTTCCTCCCTAGCCAAGGAAAGGCCTGCTTCCTAGGCCTTGTTCTCCAGATCTGGATAAAGTCATGATTCCTCTGAACCATCTCCTACCTGTGGTGGCTCTGTATTTTCACCCTGTCTTAGCCTCCTCTGGGACCCATTTTGCCCCAACACACACACACACACACACACACACACACACACACACACACACACAATTTACAATTGCCCTGTCACTTTGACCCCTTTTCCATTCTTCTCAGGCCCTCTCCTATGGCCAGGAACAGTGGGGGATAGACTGTGCCACAAAGAGATTTTTTTTTATAGGGATTTCCTTTGTTACAGTCTAGACAAGTTTCCTGCCTGGAAGTTCATGTGAAGCATAAAAAACAGAAGAAGAATCAAAAGAGTAAGAGACGTATTTCCTTTGATGGGCAGGGTGGGATGGGGTAGGGTGTGGGAAAGCCACCCTGAGCATTCATCTATCTGAAATGTACAGTCAGTTCTAGCTTCCAAGGTTCAGAAACACTGTTAGAATTTGGAGGGGTGTTGGGTGAAAAAGGGGTGGGTGTATGAAACTTCATTCAGGATCCTCAAAACTGCCTCATCCTAAGTCAGAGGTTTCCAAACTTATTTGGCCTACCACCCCCTTTAAAAAAAATTATTCACTGCCCCCAGCCCTGGAAATCTATTTTTTTAACCCTTTAATTTTTTTAAAATTTGCATCATTTCAAAAAAATATAAAATAAATATATTTTAAATGACACATCTTATATTTAATAATTTATTGTAAATTTGTGGGGTTTTTCCTGAATTAGAATTTTGATGATACAATATTGCATCATGTAACTGTATAATATCATATTGTAAACAAGTCATTCCATGCACATATTCTTGCCGATACACGCTGGACTTCCCGACAATGAGAGCTACTTACTCACCTGCCAACACGTGTTTGTTAAGTCTGTAGGGGGATTTGACCACTGATCAGTTATAATTCACATTTTGTATGTTTATTTGGAAAATAATATAATCACTACAACTTTAACTCTATTACACAACAAATGAAACATGTATGAATGGTTTTTCAAAATTTTCTTATCTTCTTTCCTTATGCTTCCACTGCCCCCTTATTTTTACTTGCCCCCCAATTGCACCAGAGGCTACTACCGCCCCTTTGGTGGTATATCCCACTTTGGGAACCTATGTCCTAAGCAGATTTAAATTTACCCCCCACGTCTCAGGACAGCTCTGGAATAGATCTTGTGCCCCAAGAGCCCACAGATTCGCTGAGAGATTCCCAGAGTCAAACTAGCAATAGTTAAAGGATTTGGGGCTAAATCCCATTTCTGGGAAGTCCACAAGGTGACGTGTTGCATATATTTTCAGAGTTTTTTGATATGTTGATCAGTTTTGCTGATTCCATCCCACCCTTTAAAAAAAAAATATTGTTATATGAGGTGGCTCTCTGGGAATTGGGAGTGGAGGGATACTGAGAGAAATTTGGTGATGTAAAAGAACAAAAGAAATCAATAAAAATTTATAAATCATTAATAAAAATGTTAATTCTACCTCTGCTACTTACTATCTGTATAACCATGGGCAAGAACCTTCTCCCTCATTTGAGGGGTTTAGACAAAATGTCCTGTAAGATCCTTTTCAACTCTAAAATCCTATGACCCTGAGAAATGTCTTTTCTCAAATTCCTAGCCCTCAGTTTCCCTGTTCTAGCTCATTTACTTTTAATTTTCTTTTTAAAAGAAATTGATATCTTTTGTTTTTACATCACTTCAGTTCTGAATTTACTCCTCCCTTACCCAGTGAGTCATCCCATGTGACAAAGAAGATAAAAGGGAGAGGAGGAACAGGTCCACAAAATTGAGCCATCACATTAATCACATCTGAGAGTATATGCAATATTCTGAACCCATCTTCCCCTACCTCCACAAAGAAGGTAGGGAGGTTCATTTTCTCAACTCTCCTTGGAAGCAACCTTATCTTTCACCTTATCTTTCACAAAGCTATCATATTTCTTTTACATCTCCTTCTTCCTTCCTTCCCTCTACTCTCCCCCCAATTGATCTCTAAAAGAGTGAAGTCTATTTCTGTGTGGGTTCCAGGTATACCCTCTTTCGGCTTCAGGTCAAATCTGGTAGGCCCTTCCCTTCTCAGTTCTTCCCATGTCCCCTAGGCTCTGCTTACAGATATTCTCTGACTAACCTTTCACCAGAGAACTTGGGCTCAGCATCTTACTCCTTTCCTTAAAACTTGTACCTCCCACTTGTATTAGTCCCTTCTGTGTTCCTTCTAGTTTTTCTCTTTCTTCCTCAATCCATAATAAACATTTAGGAGAAGTCTCTCTCATGATCAAACTGTTGGAACTGCTCCTGGAAAGCAGACTCAGGTCTCTCTCTTACCCTCCCAGGGACTTCCACAGGTCCCACTCCCTATTTTCCTGATGATTTAAGAGATTGGATTTAGCTTGGCAGAAGTCCAGGGTTCCATGACAAATGCTCAGCCTTGAAAGAAGGAAGGAGTGGAGGACACTGTGGGTGTTGTGTGCATGGAATCCCTATCATGTATGGATTAGTTGAAGGAACTAGGGATAATTAGCCTGAAGAAAACTAAGGAGAGCAGGGGAGAAAGAAGGAAATGATAACTCTTAAGTATTTAAATGGCTGTCTTATGAAGGAGGGATTAGACATGTTCTGTTTGGTCCCAAGGGCCAGAAATAAGAACAGTAAGGAGAAGTTACAAAGAGAAATATTTGTCCTCACATCAGGAAAAATCTCCTAACAATTATTGGATCATTGGATTTAGAGTTGGAGGGGACCTTAGCGACTATAGAGTCCAATCCCCTCATTTTACAGATGATGACACTGAGGTTAAAGAAACAGAACTAATGAGCATCTGAGTTGGGATTTGAACTTAGGTCTTCCTGACCCTAAGTACAGGACCCAAGCCACAGTGCTACCAAATGACCTTAGAACTATCCCTAAGTGGAATAGGTTACCTAAGGTATAATAGTTTCCCCTCACTAGTGGTCTTCAAGCAGATAGATAGATAGATAGATGGAAGGATAGATAGATAATAGATTGATAGATGGTTGGATAGATAGATACTATATGAATATTATTATGTGGGTGACCACTTATTGAATAAGTTGTAGCAGAGATTCTTTTTCAGGTACAAGTTGGAGTATATAGCCATAAGGTCCCTTCCAACTCTCAAATTCTATGACCTTCTGCATTCTATTCATAGGAAAACACCTAACTGTGACAGTGAATGAATCCTATGAAAACACCCAGTACATCTCACCCTGCTACAACTCTAGCAACCATTGCCCAGATCTTGCCTTCTTCCACTACACCAAATACTTCCAGCCCCAAATGCATGTGGAAGTGCCCAGGAACCGATGGACCTGTGGGGTAGGAAGCATTGGGTATTTATAAATTATCTGTGGGCATGGGAAGCTTCAGGGTCTAACTGGCTCCCAGACATAGTTCCATTGGGAAATGGGGGAGAATGGGTACCTAGCCTGTAGGAGAAGCCTTACTCTCCCTTTTAAAGACATTTCTCTCTTAGCTTTCCTGTTGTTGTGGTGCCCATAAAGGAAATCATTCTGTCTGCATGTCCCTGGAGTGCCTCCCAGATGGACAAGAGTTGACAATACCTATGGTAAGTATTAGAATCAGGGAAGAGTTACATGGACTCTCTAGCTAGGCTCATTTGAGTCAGAGAGCTGATGGCAAGAGGTAGTGTGGAGATGGGGTAAAGGAATGAGTATCTACCTATCAGATTGTGAAGGTTGCCTGTGTATGCTCACATGAGAGGCAGAGGCATGGACAACATTGTTTCAGGGTGCAGTGGGCATTTATATAATAGAAAAATATAGGAGTTGTGTATGCAGAGGCAAGATGGTGTCTGAGGAGTTGTTTGGTGATGCCTGGGGAGAAAGAGGTACTGAAAGGCTGAGTAGGAAAACCATGCACAGAGGACAGAATGTAAGGAAAGTTGAGTGTGAGGGTGTGTGGAGGGTAATGATATTAGTTCATGGGGATGGTGGGCAGAGTTGGGGGTCAATGAATATCGATGAGTGAGTGTGTAAGCTCTTGGTGTGGGCTATTTTGCTCTGAAGTATCACAACACTGATAAAGACTTTTCCCCTTTCTTGGTTCTCAGAATGAAAACTGTGATTTACATGTGACAGCCAAAGACTGGTAAAGTACCTTCCCTACCCTTACAGTTCTGTCTTCTTCTCTTCCCATTCTTCTATTGTCCCCACTATTTTCCATACATCAGAACTGCTATTTACACTAATCCTTCTTTTCCAGCTTCTTGGAGGCTCTAGGTCCTATTGAACATGTTGAGGAGCTCAAGGGAATGGCAAAGACATAGGAAGAAGAAAGGGAAATGGCATTGAGAAGTGGAAGTGGGAATTTTGATGGGAATTCTTACCCCTGAGCATTTAATTACACTTCCCACTTCCCTTGTCATACTTTGATGGGTGAAGTTCAAGACGAGCTCCTGGTTAAGGACAGGGCTTTCTCCAATGTCTGACATTTCCTGGATAGTGACAGAGAGAGTCATATCGTATATGCATGTAGTAAGTGAAGTAAGCAAATAACTGTTGAACATCTACCATGAGTCCATTCAACAACATGTGGGCACCATGAGAGAGAACTAGGAAATAGAAATATGGTTAATAGAGCATTTAACTGGAATTCAGGAAACCCTGCTTTTACTCCTAACCATGACTAACTAGCTATGTGATTTTGGTTAAGTTATCTCTTCTCTCGAGGCCTCAGTTTCCATGTGTGTAAAATGACTGCCATACTGGGGAGTTTGGACTTGATTAGTTAGGTGATAGGAAGCCACTGTAGGTTCTTGAATAGGGTAGCGATAAGACAAAAAAAGTTAAGTTATGGGGGATAACGTTACAGGGTGGAAGTGGAAAGATGAATGAAGGAATGAAGTAGTATTAGTAGTAGCAGTGATGTGCCCAGAGGTTTGCAGATAAATATTTAACAACTAGCTTTCCAAGAAAAAATATCCACACAATACACTAAAATTTAATCTGTATTATTAACATTTTCTTCACCACTTTCTTAAGTCTAGGCAATCAACAAAACAATAAGTCAAGTCCTGATTTGTAGCTTTTGCTGATTTCCTAGGTATAAATGCTCAAGTTGCCTCCAACCATACCCCTGTCACATACCCCAAAAAAAGCAAATTAAGTTTTGGGATATTGTTGCTGGGTCAGGAAGGAAGGAAGGAATGAAGGGAATGAAAAAGCTTTTATTAAGGGCTTATTATATGCAAAGTTCTAGGAATACAAATACAGATGTGAGACAGTCCTTCAAGGAGCTCACATTCTAATAAGGGAGTAAGGCAGACGGAAAGGTCTTATGATCCTTAGAGTACAGCAACAAAACGAATGGTAATGCATCTTCTTCACTGTTATTTCTACTGATAGAATCATGACCATTTTAGATGATGAACCATTTGACAGTGCCAAAGACTTTGGTGGTAAAAAGGACTAGACAATGTTAAAGTCCCTTCCAGAAGCTCTATTATATGTTTCTGTGAAATTCTAGGTCACAGTTCCTGCTTTCCAGGATCTTACAGATCTAGAACTTAGAGTTACTAAATGATCAGGATCTATAACTTAGAGTTACAAAATGATCAGGATCAGGATAACTTAGAGTTATAAAATGATTAAGGAACAATATATAATAGTAAGTAATAAATAATAGTAATAATAGTTAAGTAATAAAATATTGAACCATATAGTACTGACCCTGTGCTAAAAGAGCTCAGCCAAGGGAGAGATCAGTGTGTGCCAGAGTAGCTAGGGAAAAGTGAGGCACTTGAATTGAGCCGTAAAGGATGGAAAAGATTAGGAAAGATGGAGGAAGGGCATTGGAAAGATTAGACTGAGCAAAGTCACAGCAATGAGAATGAGCTTGATGTGTCCTAGAGAAAACAAATGGACTTGCCTAACCAGAATGCAAAGTGTTCGTTGGGAGCAGTAGAAGGTAAAGTTGGAGAAGAATGACCCATGGGGCCCAATTCAGGAGGGCCTTGAGTGCGAAGTTGAGGAATTTGGGTTTCATGCAATAGACAATAGAGAGTCATTGTAGGTTCTTAGACTAAGCAATGAAATAAAAATAGTAGAATCATTAAAGATGTTATAAGTTGGAAATAAGAGGATGAGACCTTCGTCCTGGGATATTTACATGGACCTTGTTTGCTCAAGGCATATAGGAAAGAAATCACAGGATTCAGACTGAGACCGTTCATTCTGTCATTCATTTATTCAACAAACATTTCTTAAATGCCTACTATGTGTCAGGCCCTGTGCTAGGCTCTAGGTATGCAAGATAAGGATGAAATAGTCAAGGAAATTATATTCTATTGGGGGAAAACCATATGAAATAAATAAAATAAATACAAAATACTGGGAAGATAAGAATAGAACTCATATAGGGGTTGGCACTTGAACTGAGCCTTGAAGGAAGCTAGGGATTTTTATAAGGTGGAGGTGAAAAAGGAGTACATTCTAGAGATAGAGGACAGTTTAGTAAAAGCATGGAGATAGGAGATAAAATGTCATGTAAGAAGATCAACTGATACACTAGTTTTGCTGGCACATCAAGTATATGAAGGAAAATAATACACCATAAACCTGGAAAGGCTGGCTGGAGGCAGACAATGAAAGGCTTTAAAATTCAACCAGGAGTCTCTATTTTATGTTGAGGGAAATTGGGAGATGCTTTTTGAGCATGTTAGTGACTGAGTCAGACTTGTGCTTTAAGAAATATTCTGGAAAAACCTGGAAAGACTAACATGAACCGATGCAAAGTGAAGTGAGCAGAACCAGGAGAACATTGTACACAGTAACAATCATATTGTATAATAATCAACTGTGAAAGATTTAGCTATTCTTAGAAATACAATGATCCAAGACAATTCCAAAGGACTCATGATGAAAAATGCTATCCACCTCCAAAGAAAGAACTAAAGAAGTCTAAATGCAGATGGAAGCATACTTTTTTACTTTTAAAATTTTTCTTGGTTTTTTTTTTTTTGGTCTGTGTTTTCTTTCACAAATGGCTAATACAGAAATACATTTTGCACAACTGCAAAGTATAACCTACATCAATTGCTTGCCTTCTCAAGGAGCAGGGAGGGAAGGAAGGGAGGGAGAGAATTTGAAACTCAAAATTTTAAAAAACAAATTTTTAAGAAATTTTACATGCAATTGGAAAAAATAAAAAATTTAAAAGAAATATTCTGGAAGCTATGGTTTGGAGAACAGTTTGGAAAAAGGAGACACTGGAGTCAGGGAGACCAATTAGTTAGGCTATTGCAATAATCCAAGAATAATTTGGTCCATCCACTGAAGCCCAGAGGGGTGAAGAAACTTACTCAAGGCCAAACAGGCAGTAAATTCCAAAGGTGAGATTCAAATCCAGGTTGTCTGCTCCCAAACCCAGTGTACTTCTCAAGGCACCAATTTCTTTCCCACTCAAGCTGAGAAATGGGAGAGTTGACCGCTCAAACATGTGGAGGTAACAGCTCTGATGCATCGTGGGTGACAAGCATCCTGTCTCCCACAACAGCCCTGATGAGTTGAACGTGAGGTTGGGTTACAGTCTATGCTCAGAGGAGCTGGAGTTCCTGCAGAAGCGGAAGGTGATCGTCGCAGAAGCCCTGAAGCAGGTGTTGCAGCTGGAACAGAATCTGCAAGATGATGAGGTCAGTTGGCTTGAGACTAAGGAGGTTAAAATGTGCCCTGAGTTAGGCTCTAAACAGGGTGGACTGGGCACTCTCTCTGCTTTTCATGAACAACTTGTCCTTCTCCTTCCCTTTGGAGAATTCTTGCTACTGTACCACCAACTCCCACTCACTGTCTCTATCTATGCCACTATGTCTCCCATCTCTTGTGTATACCCATGGGCTGCCTTTACAACTCAGCTATCCCTATAGGATTATCAGGGAATTTAGGATAATCAAGGAGGCAACAAGATCTATTCTAAGGTGATTTATAGTATCCTGTATTACGTTCCCTTATCCCCAGTTATGTGTGTATAATAAGATCTCCCCCTTTCAATCCTGTTACACAAAAGGAGTTCTTCCCACAACCCATTGATCTTTCCTTCTTTAATGGCCTCCTTCAAGCACTGTCTATATATCTGAGGATCAAGACAACAAGAGCCCAACAATTGAGGATATGCTTCTTTGTCTCTCCTTCCCAGGGGCCTTTTCCTTCCAACCTCCTGAGAAATATGGTAGAATCAGCTGGGGGAGACAGTGGAAAATAGGGGTTCTACTATGGGTTTGGAGGGTTTTTCTCCTTTTATAATTTAACCTTAGTTAGAATCGTCTAAGGTTCACCCTTCCTAGGGGTTAGAGCCAATCCTTAGAGACTCCACCTCTAAAAGAAGTAATAATAATTATGGTGATGATGATGATGATAATTTTTGTTGATACCGAATCATTTTCAGTCATGTCCAACTCTTTGTGACCCCATTTGGGATTTTCTTGGCAAAAATACTGAATTGGTTTGCTATTTCATTCTCTATTTCATTTGACAGATGAGAAAACTGAGGCAAACAGGGTTAAGTGACTTGCCCAGGGTCATACAGTATTTATGTGAGGCCAGATTTGAACTCTCTTCCCCACTCTAGGACTCTATCCATTACACTATCTAGCTGCCCCAATGATAATAGTTAACACTTATCTTAATGATTGAAGGTTTGCAAAGCACTTTATATATGTTATCTCTTTTGATTCTTATAGTAATCCTGTGAGGTAGTTTCTATTATCCACATTTTAAAGAAGAGGAAACTGAGGCTGAAATATATTAAGTGACTTGTCCAAGATCACAAAGTTATAAAGTGTAAAGGCAGGATTTGAACTCAGGATTTTCTGATTCCAAAATCCGCACTCTCCCCTATGCCACCTAGCTGCCAAATGATCTCTCTAACAGATGGATTGCTTTCTTGGAAAACGCAGTTGGGAGGGAGACTCATAGTAAATAGAAGTTCAATAAGCCCCTCCCCCCCTTTCATTTACCAAGAGGAGACTCTCTGGAAGAGGTAGGATTTGGAAAGAATGTCTTTCCCTTCCCTTCTTTACCTTTAAGGAACGTTTGGCATCTCAAACATGCCAATCCAATGCCAATCTTTTCTTTTCCATGCCCCCAAAGCTGCATACCCCAGGTTGATCACTCACATTGTTCACCAGCACTGGCTCCAAAGATCTGTTTTATAAAAGATTTTTTTAAAGCCTCCCACTTTAAAAGCCCAGGTCACCTGTATGACCTTGGGCAAGGGATTTCACTTTTCTGGGCATATGATTCATTTCGTTGTTGCAGTTGTCTTGCACGTGGATAATAAAGGAATTGGGATAGATGCTCCCTAGGATTCCTTCCAGGTCTCAAATTCTGTGGTTCCATGAGCCAGGGCCCTTCCTCTCCAAGCAGTGGTAAGACCAGGATACATAGTGGCCCTTTCCCAAGACCTTTGTTTTGCCCAGACCTTCTGGAGTTCAGATTAAGCAACTGACCTTATATCTCTTTTCTCCACATTCTAGTTGGTTTGGAGTTAGTTTGGGTAAGCTGGCACCTGGAACCCAAGTCCAGGTAGATATAACTTAATAACTGTATGGCCCTGAGCAAGTCACTTAACCTCTCTGTGCCTCAGTTTCCTCCTCTGTAAAAATTAGAGGGATGGATTTGATGGTCTGTAAAGTACCTTCGAGCTATAAAATCCATGATCCTATGAGAGAGAGACAGAGAGAGAGAGAGTAGGGAAAGGGAGAGGGAGAGAAGAAAAAGAAGAGAGAGAAAGAAAGAGAGAGAGAGAGAGAGGATAGAGATAATTGGATGGATAGAGAGAGATAGATGGAGAGATAGAGAGATAGATCTTTCTTTTGCTTTTTGGCTAAATCTAATTCTTGGTTTCTCAGCTTTCTAGACTTTCTAGACTCCCCTGTCTCCTCTAATCTAGCTTTTTCTTCTAACTCTCCACTCCACCCTGTCTCTATTCTGTCCACTCTACTTTCTCTGTGTGGTAACCTCTGCTCCAGTTTCTCCTCTGAAGCCCTGTTGCCCAGCCTCCTTCTCTCTAACTCTCTGTCTCTGTGTATCCATCAGGTGCCGCTGGTGGCAATCATGGCCACAGGGGGTGGCCTGAGATCGATGACCTCCATGTATGGCCACCTTTTGGGGCTTCAGAAGCTGAACATCCTGAACTGTACCAGCTACATCACAGGCCTTTCGGGTGCAACTTGGTGAGGACTCAGGAGTCCCTGACTGGCTTAAATTTTGGAGCAAAGCCTTAGAGCGTTGGGTCTTGACGGGAGAGGAAGAAAGTCCCTTGTGTTGGCCTCCAAAGATGACATCCCTTGCTTTTTCCATTTCCTTCTCTTGGGTCTGTGGCAGTGACTGAATTGATTTCTAATATCATTGATGCCAAACCATTGAACATTCAACAAACATGAAATTCTGCTTCAGACACTTCCTTGCTGTATAATACCGGGGTGACTTCACTTACCCTCCCTGTGCCTCAGTTTCCTCATCTGTTAAATTAGGGGGGTTGACTCTATGGCCTCTAAGATCCTTTCCTATTTTAATTTTATAATCCTATGATCTCATGGGTAATTCAGAGGCAGTGTGGAGTAGTAGATGGGTGCTGCCCTCTAAGTCAGGATGACCTGAGTTCAAGTCACATCTCTGATACTTTCAATGCCTTAGGCATCTCTGTAAGTTGCAGAACAGTCATTGATTCACATTGGTGGAACAAGTTTCCTTGCCAGGGAGCTTTCTATAAGTCTGACCAAAACAACAACAACAATAACAACAACAAGGGTAATGTACTACGTAAGCCCTAAAGAAAATACAAAGTTAAAAAAAACAAACAAACTGTTGTTCAAGGAGCTGCGCTGGGTACTAGGGATATTTATTGCCTATACCCTGAACAGATACTCCTAGGGCCTGAACCTTGCTATGCCTGAGTGTCATATGAGGGACAGGAGACAAAGGCTTTGAAGCAACCATTGTCTCAATGGTCTCTATATAGGCGTGGGATATGAGTGTGTATCTATATATTATAATATATAGATATATAATATATATTATATACATACTTATATATACATGTGTGTATATATACATATATATATACACACAAGTGTATTTTTCCAGTGTTTTCCCTCTTTTATCTCCTATTTATCCTGCATATTACTTGCTTTGTATGTATTTGTTTGAATGTTGTCTTCCCCCATTAGATTGCAAGCTTCTTGAGGGCAGGGGCTATCTTTTGCCTCTTTTTGTATTTTCAGCACTTAGCACAGTGCCTGGCACATAGTAGATATTTAACAAATGTTTATTGAATAACTGAAAAAAATAGGCAGTTCCTGCCTTCAAAGAGCCTAGACTTTACTGAGTCCTTTTAGGAGGGTAATAGCTGTGGAAAGGGAACCTAGAGTGAGCTAGACACTTGCACAATTATACATAAGCTATGCATTTATGGGAGCTCAGACATAGAAACAGAATAGAGAGTCTGTTCTTTTTGATAACACGGATGAGAGAGACAGTGACAGGTAAAGACAGACCACTAGGGAAACCCTTCCCTGTGTTACTCTTCTCCATTGTTCATTGAAGCAGGCTCGAAAAATTTTAAGACAACAACAAAAACACTTTTCAGCTGCAGAGGCTTTTGCCAGTCTACAAAATAGCAGTCCCCACTCCCTTGTCCCTGACAGCCTTCACCCAGCCTACTTCTCATCCCAGCGGGGCTGGGATACAATTGTTCATGTGCTACTTAGGAAGCAGAAGCATAGGATCAATGCATTTGGAGTCAGAGGATGTGAGTTTGGATCCCTTGAGCAAATCACATCTCCTTTCTCAGCCTCATTTTCCTCATTTGTAAAAACAGAACTGGATTAGATGGTCCCTGGTAAGCCTGAGCCAACACTCTCCCCAACCTAGAAGGTCAAGCCCACTTGTACTCTGGATGTCCTGTAACATGTGAATGCCTCTTCCCAGGACCATGTCCAACTTATACAAAGACGCTGACTGGTCCTCCAAAAACCTGGAGAAGGCCATCCAGGAGGTTCGCAGACACGCCGTCAAAAACAAGATCCCTTCGCTTTACCCTGAACAACTCAGTTACTACCAGCAGGACCTGAAACAAAGGAGCCAAGAAGGCTACAGAGTTACCTTCACAGACCTGTGGGGTTTATTGATTGAGTCCTTTTTGGGGGATGAGGTAGGTTCTCTGCTGACTTTGATTGTACGAGCATCTTCTGCATGAAGCCTTTCCTGGTTCCCTCAATTGCTGGTTCCCTCCCTCCCAAGGTTCCTTAGATCTAACTACTTTGTATATATTTGTACTTATTCACTATACATGCTTATATAATAACAACTAGTATTTATCTAGTGGTTACAGTTTGCAAAATACTTTACATATATTATGTCATTTGACCCTGACAACCATCCTGTGAAGTAGGTGCCCCATAATACAGATAAGAAAACTGAGGCGTAGGATGAGTTACCCAGTGTCCTATAACTGTTAAATATCTGAGACAAGATTTGAAGCATTTAACTTAACAGTGGGGGGTGGGGGACTAGGAAGGGTGGGGATAGTGGGAGGAGAACAGGAGTGGCTTTCCCCTGCATTGCTGCCATTGTGATACAGGAGTCCCTTTTTACCTCAAATTCGGGTGACAGACTAAGGCTTTTCTTGCTAAGTCACTCTATCCTGTAACATTTGACTTGGTTGTTTCAAACTTTCTTTCTTATGCAGGGATAACTGGTGACTCATCTCCCTTGTGGGTGAGTCACAAGAATGTATCTGCTGGCAAATCTATCCCCAATCTGCCAGATGTTTCCTCCCTGACCTTTTCATCCTTACATAGTCATGAGACCTTGACAATCTATGAGTGTGTGGCCAATAGTGACCTAAAGAAAGTCAGCACTATTCAAACGAGGACCAGTCAACACCTTTGTATATGTTGGGGATGGTCCTGGGAATAGGCATCCACATGTTTTGGAGCTCTAGGCTATCTCCTTGCAGATTTTAGGTTTCTGGGCCAATGTTGATTCATATGACTAGTTACTTTGAATTATAGATCAAGTGATAACTAGATCCACCTGAATTGGTAGAAAGAGTTTCCTGAAGAGTTCCCTATACCAGTTAGACCACAGGCCTAGTGCCTCTTTGTATCCCTACCCCTATGATAAAGAAAATGGATCACCCATACAGAGTGATGAGCATTAATACTACATTCCCTCTCATCCACTGCAGAAAAAAAACAATTTATATTATGTTTTTTAAAGTTTGACTGAAGTAAAACTGAAAGTCTTAAGTTTGGTCTGAAATTTGACATTTTAAGAAAATATGATAACTGACATTTATATAACACTTTAAAGCTTGCAAAGCACTTTCATATAGTTGGTCTCACTTAAGCCTCACAACAACCTTGTGAAGCAGATACTCTAAGCATTATTATTCTCATTTTATATATGAGGAAACTGAGTCCCAGGGAGGTTGCTTTGTGGTCATACAGCTAATACATATCAGAGGTGGGATTCCTTCTCAGGTCTTCCTGACTCTGATACTACCCATTTTACCATACTTCCTTTTAATATATAAGAGTAACATTTATATAATGTTTACTATGTGCCAGGCACTGTGCTAATCACTTTACAAATATTATCTCATTTGATCCTCACAACAATTCTGGGAGGTAGATGCTAGTATTATCCCAATTTTTACAGATGAGTAAACTGAGGCAAACAGAAGTTTTTTTTTTTTTTATAATGGTTACAATTTACAAAATACTTTAAATATGTTATTTTATTTGACCCTTACAACCACTCTGTGAAGTAGGTGCCCCATTGTACAGCAGAAAACTGAGGCTTAGAAAGGATAAGTGAGTTACCCAGTGTCACACCATTATTAAGTATCTTGAGGAAAATCTGAAGCATTTAACTCAACAGTATGTGTGTGTGTGTGTGTGTGTGTGTGTGTGTGTGTGTGTGTGTGTGTATGTGTGTAACTTGTTCAGGGTCATTCACTAGTAGGTATCTGAGACCAGACTTGAATTCAAGTCTTTCTGACTCTAAGTGTTCTAATCACTGCACCACCTAGCTGCCTGGTTCTTTAAAAAGAACATTTCTTTCTCTTAGTGAATGACAATTTTTATTTTACTTTAAAATGAAAAATAAATCCTTCAATACATTGTCATATAGTCCAACAAAAGAAACCTCCACATTGTCCATGTCTGAAAATGCACACATAAAAACATCTCTAAGCCCATTCATTTTCTTGTTTTGTTTTTGGAGGCAATTGGGGTTAAGTGACTTACCCAGGCTCACATTAGAACTCAGGGCCTCCCGACTCTGAGGACTGTGCTCTATCCTCTGCGCCACCTGGTGGCTTGATCCATTGGTTTTCATAAGGCTATAGTCATCCTTCAAGTATGGCCCAATCTGCTGGGTCTACACCCAGCCTGATGTTTCTCCACCTGTTTAGTTTGTGCAATTGACCAAATCCTGGGAGTCAAAAATTGGGATGCAACAAAGTGAAATTCTCAGCAGCAGGCTATTAGGACAGTAACTTGACAGGTTAGCAGAGACAAAACCAGGGGTATCTTGATAAATGTTTAACAACCAGCTCTCTAAAAACACACACAACAGGCTTTTAAATTTAGCCTGCGTTATTGTTTTCTTTATTGCTTTCTTCAGTCTAGACAAATCAGCAAAACAAGAAATCAAGCCCTGATTTGTAGCTTTTGTGCTATCTGAAGTATAAATGCTCACACTGAAAACTTAACAGTTGGCTCTCAAGAGCTGGCTCTAGCACATGCTCTTTTTTTATTGCTGTTGAGACAATTGGGATTAAGAGACTTGTTCAGGGTCACCCAGCTAGTAAGTGTCTGAGACCAGATTTGAAATCAGGTCTATCCTGACTTTAGGGGCACTGCTCTATCCACTGCACCACATAGCTGCCCCTCTACCTAAATAAAAGTGACTACTAGGCAGGCTTTCCTCCCAGAGAGTAAGGGATGATACTGCACACAATATTTTGGTTGTGTCAATGAGAGGAAAGATTGCTAGGAGTCTGTCCTGCTTTTCTAACTGAGCCTGAACCCAATTCAGTGCCAGCCCCTAGAAAGCATGCAGAACCATGTCTAGTGTGGAGCAATCAGGACTTTGCCTCGGGCTTCTAGACATCTGAAGGCTGAGCTTCCTCCGCCTTGACCTCCTCCCATAGCTCCCTACAGCTCCTGCATCCACAGCATAATAACCTGCACTGCCTGTCCTGAAATCAGACTCCCTAGAAACTTCCTGGTTGTGTAATCCTGGGTGAGTCCTTTAGCCTCTCTATGCCTCAGTTTCCCATATGTAAAATGAAGGTATTGGATGTGGCTGCCTTGAATTTAATCCCATGATCCACCAGAAGCCTTGAGATGTCCCAATGTCTCTGTATCTCCCCTCATGGGATTATGCCCCATGGTATCTCCCTTCATGGAGCCTTGTTCCAAAGATTTCTCTCTGATCCCCTCACCCATGCTCCTGATGTAAGCCCATCTCTTCTCCGTTAATTCCTTCTTTTCTCCAAACAGAAATATGAAGGGAAGTTGTCATGGCAAAAAGAAGCTCTGTGCCAGGGCCAGAATCCCCTCCCAATCTATCTCACCATCAATGTGAAGGATGATGTAAGCAACCAGGATTTCAGAGGTAATTCCAGCATCCCTTGGACGGTTAACACACTTAAATCTGGTGGAGCCAACCTGAGATTACAGATGCATTTCCTGCCCCTGCCCCAACATTCCTAAGAGACCACTATCTTCCTTATCTCCACGACAAAGATTAAATAAAATACAACTCTCCAGGGCCTCTATTTCCCTCATCTGTAAAATAGAGGAGGGAGGAAACTTAGACTAAATGACCTCTGCCCATTCTAGATCTATGAACCTATGAAACCTTTCTTTATATCCCTAATGGTTAATTGATTAATTAACTAATTAATTAATTTATCATGTTAATTTGCTCTCCCCCTGGATTTCATGACTCCCTGCTTTCCTGGAATCATCTATCACTTTCCCAGCTTTGAATGACATAGAACAGGAAGAATGCAACCTCTGCAAAAGAAAGGAATTCTATACATTCCTTACTGTCTAGGGGGCAGGACTTTTCCCTTTGCACATTGCTAGAGAGAATCCGGTTTTCCATTTTCAGTCTCATTTTGTTAGACTGTGGGGAGTAACTTTCTCTGGGCTATTCTGCTTATTGTCTTCAATGTCATTGACATAGAGCCAGAAACAGCCAAGTTGGGTTCTGGGTCATCTCCTGTTTTTGAGCAGATACTGCCCTCCCCTGTCTTATGTTGGAATTGCAATTTCTTCATTCCTCCCATACTCTTGAGCAGACCTGTGCAACTTGGCAGGAGGTAGGGGCCAAAATTAAAATAGGCTAAACTTCTTTGGGTTGAAGATAGGTTTTTAGCAGCTCACTTTCCAAGGTATAGTTAATGATTAAACTATTTTGCAAATAAGCCATATTTTTAAAGGCGAAATTTCAATTAATATCAATTAATTACAGTTATTACTTAAGATTTTTTATTTCTCATGAAACCACATTAATGTTAAAAAAAAAACTACTTTGCTAAGTGGCACAAGTTTTAATACGTTTTTCTGGTTTTCTTACTGTTTACATTTAGAAATGACCAAAAACAGAGCAAAAATATGCGACTCTCGCTCCTCTCAGACTAGACAGACTGATGACGGTTGGTTGCCATAGGTCGTGTGACAAACAGGAGAGAGTGTGCAGTGGCACCCACTCACCAAATTACATGATGGGCACAATAGTGACTAGTGGAAGGCGGGTTAAGCGGGGCCCGGACAAACTCATCACATCTTTACTTTCTTTTATATCCTCTATATTTTTTGTGGGCCGCCTGAAATCCTTTGGCCAACCACAAGTGGCGCACGGACCGCATCTTGTGCAGGCCTGCTCTTGAGCCTCCCTGCTTTAAATCAGTGGTTCTTACCCTTGGGGACCAAGGATAGATTTGAGGGAGATCTATGAACTTGCATGGGAAAAAGATTACATTTTTATTTTCACTAACCTCTAACTAAAATTTAGCATTTTCTTAATAATGAATGTAGGCAACAAAGTACAGTAATTTTAGCAATACCTGTGACTTTAATAGTAACAATAGATAGCATTTATGTTGCACAAAGGGAAAGGGAAAAAATATTTTTTTTTTGGCGGCAATCAGAGTTAAATGACTTACCCAGGGCCACACAGCTAGTACGTGTCAGAGGCTATACATATTTCATTTGATCCTCACAACAACCCTGTGAGGTTGGTGCTATTATTATCTCTATCTTTGTCACCAATAGAAATCATGGATATTTTCATATTGCATTACAGTTGTTACAGATATCTCAAAATATCATTTACACTGATTGCTACTTTGAAATTAAAGTATTTATTGGATCCAAAAATAAGTATATTATTTTATCACAAATTTGTTTCTTTAATATTTTGATACCTGTATTTCAATATAATTGGTTTCCTTCGTAAATATAAATAAAATCTGGCCTTAGACACTTACTAGGTGTATGGCTCTGGGCAAGTCACAACCTCAATTGCCTAAAAAAAGGAAAGAAAAACAAAATTGGATTGTAGATGTAAATAAAAATTTATGTATTTAGAATGCAAGTCTGAGAAGGAGTCCATAGACTTCACCAAGTTGACAAAATCAGTCAGGTAGTGAATAAACATTTATTAAGTGCCTACCACGTGCCAGGCACTGTGCTAAGTGTTGGGGATGCAAAGAAAAACTAAAGTAAGTTAAAGAAAGCCCTGGAACTCACAATCTAGTGGGGGAGATAACCTGCAAAGAACCATGAACAAACAAGATACGCAAAGAGTAAATTGGAGATAACCAATTTGAAAGAAGGTATTAACGAATTAAGGAAGCTGGAGGAAGGATTCTTGTAGAAGGTGGGTTTTGGTGGGATTTGCAGGAAGCCAGGGGAGCCCAGAGGTGGAAGTGAGAAGGGAGAGTGTTCCACAAGAAAGATTGAGAACCCCTGACTCAGAGAGAGCAGAGGGCTGTGCTCATAGTTTCCCTTCTTAACACCATTGCATTCTCAATCATCCTAACTTGAAGCTCTCCTTTGAGTCCCCCTGAACAGAAATGGCTCCTGACTCCCTTACTTTTGCTGTTTTGTGCACAGAATGGGTGGAGTTCACCCCCTACGAAGTGGGATTCCAGAAATATGGAGCCTATGTCCCCACGGAATATTTTGGCTCTGAATTCTACATGGGACGATTGATGAAGAGGATCCCTGAGTCCCGGTTATGTTACTTGCTAGGTGATTGTTTATCCTGGGACATCTACTTGGCCAGTAGAAGGGTGAAGGCTCTCCAGTGGAAAGACTATGTGCTGGCTGTGGAGTCAGTGGTCTTGGGTTCAAATCCCACCTCTGACTTACTATGTGTGTGACCTTGGTTAAACTCTCTGGCCTCAGTTTTTTCTCATCTTTTAAAACAGGGTTGGGCTGGGTGGCCTATGAAGTTCCTTCTAAATCTATGACCCTATGACTTTAGCCACCTGGGATGTTCCATTGGTTCTAGGTCACATCACCAACTTGGGTTGCAGTTTGCTTGTCTGTAAATGAGAGGGTTTGGCAGCTGGTTGGCACAGTGGATAGAGTACCGGGCTTTGAGTCAGGAAGACCTGAATTCAAATGTGACTTCACACACTTACTTTGTGTATGATCTTGGGCAAGTCACTTAATCCTGCTTGCCTCGGTTTCCTCATCTGTAAAATGGGAGGGAAATGGCGAACCATTTCAGTATCTTTGCCAAGAAAACCCCTAATGGGGTCACCAAGATCTGTACATGACTGGAAAATAACTGAACAGCAACAACTCAGCTCAGGGGTGTTCTGTTGCTAAATTTTCAGTGTAAACGTGTACACCTTAGAAATCAGAAAATGTTACAAATTAGTGCTTGATTTATTGTTTTGTTGATTCTCTAGACTTAAGAACATAATGGAGAAAATGTTGTTAATGTTAATTAAACTTAAAAGTGTATCCTGCAAATATTCTTCCCCCAGAAAGTCAATTGACGAACCTTTACCAGCACACTGTTGCTCAGGCTCATTGACCCTAAGGTCCCCTCTTCTAGCTTTATTCTGTGATTCCATGGTCTTGGATTTAGGTGGAAGAAATCCGAGCAGATTTTGTGTTGGAATGATAGTCACTTCATAATTTTGTTCTTTCAGCGCTTCCCTATACATCATAGGTATGCAATAAATGCTTTATGAATGATAAGGGAATGGATCAAAAAATTATGGAATCATAGATTTAGAGCAAGAAATGACCTTAGAAATCATCTAGTTGAATTCCCTCATTTTATTTGTAGGGAGACAGAGAGGTTTTATGCTGACCGAAATGTATGTATGCAATTGAGGAAACTGAAGCCCATGGAAATGAAATGACTCTTGCCCAAAGGCACACATGCAGCAAATGGCAAAGCTGAGTTTGAATCATCAATCACTCTCCTTACGTAGAAACCAGGATGGTGTGGGGGTGGGGGTGGGGTGTCAGGCTCTTGCCTTATTTCCCTCTGTTGTATTTGACAGGGATCAGACAGGGATTTAGCACTCCTCTTTTCTCTGCCTCTGCCTTCCCCTCTCCTCTGGAGAATTTAATGGATTCAGACAATAGCTCTGGGAGCTATTGGGGAAGGAAGGAAGAAAAGAGGGAAGGAAGGAAGGAGAGAGAGGAAAAAAGGGAGGAAAGAAGGAAGGAAAGAAGTGAGAGAAGAGGAGAGATACGAGCATTTATATACTACTATATGCTAGGCACTGTGTTAAGTGCTTTACAAATATTATCTCATTTGATCCTCACAACAACCCTGTGAGATAGGTGCTATTATTATCCCCATTTTACAATTGAGGAAACTGAGGCAGACAGAATTTAAGTGATTTGCTCAGAATCACACAGCTGGTAAGTATCTGAAGCCAGATCTAAACCATTGGAAGAACCCTGTGTTTACTAAGAAGCTCACTGTTGTCTCTTCTACCCCCAGGCCTGTGGAGCAGCATCTTCTCCCTGAACATGCTTGATGCCTGGAATCTGTCCCACAGTTCAGAGGAATTTTTCCACAGATGGACAAGAGAAAAAATGCATGATATTGGTGGGTAACCAGTTGGTTTCCTCTTCCTGGGAGGATTTAGATACAAACTAACCACATGCCTAAACTACAACATGGCTCTCTGAGAGGTTGGGTCAGCTAGGGAAGGAGACACCAGTTTGGGGCAATAGAACTGGGAAGGGAGGGTGAGGTTTATATAGGGATGGTGAGGAGAATGACTTGTCTGGAATGGAGGGTGATTGCTTTGGAGGGAGGACAAAGGAAAAGAGGGATGAGGCCAACAAGTGTGATATGAAGCAGCTTTGCTGTACTACAGTAGTAGAATGAACACTGTATTCGGAATAAGAAGACCCAGGTTTGAATTCCAGCTTCATTTATTCATTCATGCAACAAGCATTTATGGGGCAGCTAGGTGGCGCAGTGGATAGAGCACCAGCCCTGGATTCAGGAGGACCTGAGTTCAAATCTGACCTCAGACACATAACACTTACTAGCTGTGTGACCCTGGGCAAGTCACTTAACTCCGTTGCCCAGCCAAAAAAAAAAAAAAGAAAGAAAGAAAGAAAGAAAAACAAGCATTTATTGAGCATCTACTATATGCCAGGCACTTGGGATACAAAGAAAAAAAAACAGTTCCTGCCCACAAGAAGCTTACATTCTATTGGGGTGGAAGGCAATAATCTATATGCAGATAAATCAAAACAAAATAGATACAGATTAAATACAAAGTAATTTCTCGGGGAGGGCACTAGCAATTGGGAAAGATCAGAAAGCTTCATGGAGAAGGTGGTGCTTGTGCTAAGCCACCTAAGAATGCTGGGGATTCTTAGAGGGAGAAATGAAGAGGAAGTGTAAGGGATTGGTTGCCAGACTTTTAGATCAGGTAAATGCTATAGATAGAACTTACCTAGATTTTAGCAAAGCATTTAGTAAAGTGTCTTTGCTATTTTCAGGGAGAAGATGGAGAGGTGTGGTTTAGACAATAGCATAATTAGATAGATTTGGAACTGGTTTAATGGCCAGTTTCAAACAATGGTCATTAAAGGTTTGGTGTCAGTTTGGAAAGATGTCTCCACTAGAATACTCCAGGTATCTATCCCCAGCCCTAGGTTTAACATTGTAATCAATGACTTGGATAAAGACCGAGATGACATGCATATTGAAATCCCAGGTACACAAACCTGGGAAAGATGAGGATGCTACATTACTTACTGGATAACTGTCGAGATCCAGACAGGATATGTGTAGCATTGGGCTAAATCTAATGAGATGGAATTGAATAGAGATAAATATCAAGTTTATACTTGGGTTCAAAAAATTCTACTCTGCAAGTCAAAATAGAAGAGGGGAAAGGTGAGTGGCATGGTGAGATAGTTTGTATGGAAAAGATCTGTGGGTTTTAGTGGGCCACAAGCTCAATATGAGTCAACAATGTGAGTTGGCAGCCAAAATGACGAATGTTTCTGTATTAAGAAAGATAGCTTCCTAAGGAATAAGGAGGTGATAGCCTCACTGCACATTCTAGTTAGACCACATCTGAAGTTTTTTAATCAATCCTGAGCACTACATTTTAGAAAGGACTTAATGAGATGTTCTAGAGCCAGCTCATTCTGGCCAGCCGATTGTTAAATCAACATAAGTATTTACCCCTTGAAAATCAGCAGACAAATCAAGACTTGAATTATTGTTGCTGATTGCCTAGACTTGTAAAAGTGAGGGAGAAAATGCTAATATAGAATAAACTTAAGGTGTGTCCTGAGTTTTCAGAGTTGGTTATTAAACATTTACCAGCATACCCCTGGGAATAAAGCTAAAAGGTACCTAAGGGCCAGGTAACCAGGATGGTAAAGATACTTGAGTTGATGCCTTCTGAGAATAAATTGAAGAAACTGGGTATGTTTAATTTCACTTGCAGATGTGAAAGCTCAGTAAAATGAAATTTAGAAAGAACAAAAAGAACTTATTTATTTACATGCTGTCTCTCCCATTTAGAATGTGAGCTCCTTGAGGGCAGGGACTGTCTTTGCCTTTCTTGGTATACCCAGAGCTTAGCACCGCATCCAGCACAGAATAAATACTTTAAAAATGCTTGTTGATAGAAAAAAAAAAGTGAAGACTTCAGGGGACATGATAACTAGCACCGAGTATTTGAAAGGTTGTCTTGTAGAGGAGATTAGACTTGCACTTCTTGGCCGAAGATTACAAAAACAGGAGCAAAAGACGAAATCTACAAAGAGACAGATGTTGGTCTGACATAGGGTGAAAATCTACTAATAATTGGAGCCATCCCAAAGTGGAATGGGCTACCTTTGACAGAGTGGCTTCTTCCTTATTGGAGCTCTTCAAGCAGAAACAAGATGACCACTTGTTTGAGTATCCAGGGGAATTATTTGGAGGGCGTGGGTTGGATGAGAGGGCTACTGAGATCTCTTCCGACTCTAAAGTTCTGTGATTCTGTGGTCCTGTGAATATGAGATGGAATGTCATGCATGGAGAACAGCAAGTAGACTGTTTGGCCCTCACAAGGAGAAGAGTGTTTCTTAAGTCAGGTGGGAAGGGAGGCTGGAGCCAAATTATGATGGGCATTCAATATAAACTGTACTGTTTACTATCTGTGTAACTTTGGGCTAATCACATAACCTACAACCCTTTGTCTCCTCAACTGTAGGACAGAGATAATAATACTTGCATTGCGCAGGTCATGGGATTGTTGGGAGGCAAAGCACTTTGTGAAATGCTTATAAATGTGTGTCTAGTATCATTTTTCCACTGAATTCCCACTCCAAGTCCTGGGTTCTTGAAGGTTCTTCCAGAAGGGCCTGATCTCTTAGAGGTCCTACCACCCTGGATAGGTGTTGAGGAGGGGAGGATGGGCCTTGAGTGGGACTATGTTTCTGTTGTCTGAGTACCTGTCCAGCCAGATGGAGAGAGGCTCATTAAAACATGTCTGGCATTCTGGATCATAGGACCTAGATTTAGAGCTGGAAAGAACCGCAAAGGTCATCTAGTCCAACCCCCCCCCCTTTTTTTTTAACAACTGAGGAAACTGAGACTTATAGAGGTTAAGTGACTTGCCCAAGGTCACACAGGTGGTAAGGAAGTGAACCAGGATCTGAACCAAGATCCTTTGATTCCAAATCTCCATGCTATCCCCTCCATTCTTTTTTTTTAAATACCCAAACTCATGAATTCTGACTACCAGAAATTCAAAAACCTTTATCTGTATCAATGGAGGGAAAGCTTGTAATGATGAAATCACAGATTCTTGAGTTTAGACAAATAACAAGCAATTGAAGGAACTAGATATGGTTAGTTTGGAGAAGAAAAGGCTCAGGGAAATGTGAAAGTTGTTTTCAAATATTTGAAGGGCTGTCATAAAGAAGAGAAACTACACTCATTCCGTTGGCCCCCAGAGGGAAGACCCAGGATCTATGTATGAAAGTTACAAAGGTATTAATGTCAGGAAAAGAAAATGACTAACTAGACCTCTTTGGAAGTGGAATGGGGGGGGTGGAATTTAGAACTCAAAATCTTATAAAAGCGAATGTTGAAAACTAAAAATAAATTAATGAATTAATTACAAAAATAAATGAAATATAAAAATGGAAAAAATAAATAAATAAAGGATCTTTCCCTCTTAAAAAGAAAAAAATACTAATGGAATGGGCTGTTTTGAGGCACTGTGGAGTCTTCAGGCACAGTCCAGATGATCACTTACCATATGAGAGTAGGGATTGTTTCATTCTACATTTTTATATTCCTATCATCTAGCACAGCACCTGGCACATAGTAGGGGATTAATAAATGCTTGTTGATTAATCAATGATTATAGTAAGGATTCCTTTTCAGGTATGGGTTGGTTTAGGTGGCCATCAAGGTCCTTTCCTATTCTAAATTCTGTGACTTTGCCACATAGCTGTAGTGGCACCTCCAAAAGATAACTTGGGTATTGTTATATTATCTTCTGGTCCTGCCCATAGGCTGGCCTAGGCAGGGCCTGGGTTGGAACAATGGGGGCTTTGGTTGGGTGCAGCAAGGTGTTCAGATGAGGGGGAAGGGGAGGGGCAGGGAGCAGGTACTTTCCCAAAGAGCCTTGCCAAAGGGTAAGGGCAGGGCCGAATTGTGGCAAGAGCAAGGCAGAAGTCAGCAGCCAAGGGCACAGGTTTGTGAACTGGAAAAGTCAAACAGTAGTGGCGTGTTAAGGAAAATCCAGAGCGTCCAGGCTTGCTGATTGAGAAGCTGAATGGGTTTGAGAAGGTAATAATATCAAAAGAGGAGGCTGGGTTGAAAGTAGGAGCACAAAAAAAAAATAAAATAAAACAAAAAATTTTAATTTTATAAAGAAAAAAGGAAGTAGGAGCACAATTTGGTGGGGACTAGGGAAGAAGTGGGAGGTGAAGTACAAGGTCCTGAAATTCTGTGGTTAGTAATTGAGAAACAATAAGCATTTATTAAGCACCTACTGTATGCCAGGCACTATGCTAAGGGGCATTGAATTAGATGAAGAAAATTCCAATTCTCCATACTTTCCATTCCCCTCTTCATCTTGACTGTGTATCACAGACCTCTACCCTCCGACTTATGAATTCCCTGTGGCTGGACAGCACTGGCTGTCACTGTCTTACACATACCTGAAGGAATGCATGAACCTCTCCTTTAGGATCTCTTTTCTCTGATCCTCTCTTGCCTTTATCTCTCCAGTCCTCTATTCATGATCCCTTGGCCTCTTCCTTGTACTATGTCTCTGTCCCTAATCTTGGCAAAGATACTGGAGTGGTTAGTCATTTCCTTCTCCAGCCTATTTTATAGACGAGAAAATTTGAGGAAAACAGGGTTAAGTGATTTGGCCAGAGTCAAGCAGCTAGTGTCTAAGGCTAGATTTGAATTCTGGAAAATGAATCTTCCTAATTCTAGTACTGATGCTCTATAGACTATGCCACCCAGCTACCCAATCTGTGTTTGTGTGTGTGTGTGTGTGTGCACATTAAAGTATTTTTTGCCAGGCAACAACAACCCTGGGAAGTGGGTACTATTATTATCCCCATTTTTACAGTTGAAGAAACCTAGGCAGACAGAGGTAAAGAGTCTTGCCCCGGATCACACAGCTAGTGTCTGAGGCAGGATTTGAACTCAGATCTTCCTGGTTCCAAGTCCAGTGCTCTATCCACTATGCCACCTAATCAATAAACCAATCAACAACTATTCATTAAGTACCAGAACTTATCATAGTGCCTGGTACTTAGTAGCAAATAATAAAATGTTTATTGAATTGTTGATCTACCATTTAAGTATTTTTGCCAGGCATTGGGGCTACAAATATATATGTATATATAATTATAAATACACACATATTTCTTTACTTTTTTGTGTATGTGTTTTCTTTTTGATAGAACGAAAGCTCCCTGAGGGCAGGAACTGTTTCATTTTTGTCTTTGTATTTCCAAAGCCTGGCAATAGGTACATAACAAAAATACTTAAATTGTGTGTATGTACGTATATATAAACACAGAGAGAAAGAGACAGAGACAGAGAGAGAGAGAGAGAGAAAGGTAATTTGGGTGCTTGAGTTTGGAATCCCAAGAGGCAGAGATGAGATGATGCATTCCAGGGATGGGGGAAACAGATTGTACAAAGGCATGATGGTGAGAGATGGAAAGTCAGGTGTGAGAAACAGCAAAGCCATTTTGACTGGACTGAAGGCATGGTGAAGTGGAGTCATGTGTAATAAATCTGGAAAAGTAGGCTGGAGCAACACTATGAAGGGCTTTAATATTTGCAAGAAAAGCATCCTTCAGCCATGGAATTCTAACCCTCTCAGGTGCTGGGGGGCACCGTTGTCAAATGAAATCATCAGGTTCTAACTCATTATGTGGAGAAATTCTAGTTTCCTCATCCTGTTTCCTCTTCCCTCTTTTCTTTCAGAGGATGAACCTTTATTGCCTGAAATCCCCAAGTGTGATGCAAATGTCCTGGAGACAACAGTGGTGCTGCCTGCCACAAAGCTAGCCAATACTCTACGGGATGTCCTCACCTACCGGGCCTTTGTGTCTCAGTTCCACAACTTTCTCAGGGGCCTGCAGCTTCACACAGACTATCTCCAAAATAGCCAGTTCGACACCTGGAAAGGTAAGTCTGATTCTGGGACATCCCTATTTTTTGCCTGACTCCATTTGGAAGAAATGCAAGTGGCTTTTTAGTTTGCCTTGTAGGTGGACAAAAATCCTCAAATTTCATTGGCTTACAAGTATTTTGTTTTGTTCTGTCTTTGTCTGGGCTGCAAAATTTCCCTTCTTGTCCCTCAGTTCAGCAGCATCAAGAATAGTGGTGGGTCAAGGAAGCAATCAAGCAGTCAATCAACAAGTATTTTTAAAGTCCCTACTATGTGCCAGGCAGAGAGAGAGAGAGAGAGACAGAGAGAGAGACAGAGAGAGAGACAGAGAGAGCCCCTGCTTTCTAAGTCCTTACATTCTTGGTACAACCTTAGCTCTGGAATCAGAACCCACCTCTGACAATTACTACCTGACTACCTGTGTGACCTTGGTCAAGTAAGAAGAAAAGGGGAAAGGAATCAGTATTTATATAGCATCTACTATGTGCCAGGCATGATAATAAGCACTTTTTACAAAATATTATTTCGGTTGATCCTTACAAGAACCCTTCTAGGTAGATGCTATTTTTATCCTGAGGAGGAAATAGAGGCAAACAGAGGTTAGATGACTCGCCCAGGGTCAAACAGCCAGCAAATGTCTGAAGCCAGATTTAAACTTGGGTCTTATTGATTCCAGGCTCAGTGTTCTATTCACTTCACCACCAGCATCTTTAACAATTACTACCTGTGTGACCTTGGTTAAATCGCTTCGTCTCCTTGGTCCTCAGTTTCCTCATCTATAAGAAGAGGGATTGAACTCTGAGGTTTCTTCCACCTCTCGATGATCTTTGAGGGTATGCACCTGTGCACATAAAGCAGCAATAACCTCAACGGTGAATACCTTCCTCATTTCCTCATCCTGGCTTCCTTTAAGACTCAGATCAAATTTCACCTTCTGGAAGAGCCCCTTTCCTGCTCCTTCACTCCACTCCACCTGCCAACCCCAGGGCCTTCACTCTGAGGTTACCTAACATTTACACTATACGTACAGTGAATTTACTCTTACTGTTTATACATTGTCTCTCTTCCATTAGGGTTTAAGCTCCCCAAAGACAAGGATCATGTTTTTGCCTTTCTTTGTATCCTGGTGCTTTAACACTGCCCTTGACACATTATAGGCATTTTAAAAATACTTGTTGTTGATGAAGAGGAGTACCAAGGCTTTGAGTATCACTCCATTTTTTTAAAAAAAAATTAATTCATTTTTATTTTTATTTTGAATACCAAATAGAATGGGCATGTATGCTTGTGCATGTGTGTGTGTATGTATGAGTATGTATGTTTATGTATAATATGTATGTATGTATTAGAAAAGAGGATTGTCCATAAAAATGCTCATCTCTATGATGTATAGCTTGATTTCTTTTGAAGTATATAAAATCAACCTAAGCTGTCCTGCCTATATAATTTTCTTTCTAGACTTCTTTTAGTTCTTTTCTCTCCATTTAAAAAAAAAAAGAGAGAACTCCTCCAAGACCCACTTTTCTTTCTTTCCTTTTCTTTCTTTCATCTCTCTTTCCTTTCCATTCTCCATTCCTTCTTTCCTTTCTTTCCTACTCTCTTTCTCCCTCTTTTCTACTCTCTCTTTCTTTTTTTCCTTTTTTCTTTCTTCTTCCTTCCTTCCTTTCTTTCCCTGTGTTCCCGCTTTGCCCTCCCACCCACCCCCATTGGGAAAAAAAAGAAAAAGAAAAACAAAGCCCTTGTGAATGCCTTTCCATTTTCACCAACTTCTTACTTTGCTGCATCCTGATGGATTTGTGAGCCTGTCCCAATAATTTCCATCAACAAGGACTTACTGAGCCAGGGTGACCAGCCACATGCTTGGCCCCGAGCCAGAGCAGCTCCATAAATTTGTTAGGGCTGTGTTAAGCCCTTCCCTTTCACTGAGATCTAGTGAGATGATCTAACTGGTTTTCTCTGCCCATACTATGCAAGATCAACCAAAATCCCTAAGAGAATGTGATCTTTCAATGACCCCAGGCAGAAAGGGATCTCAACTTGCTTAGAGGCTATATTCCACATTGGTGGAGAGGATGGCAGGACTAGAGAATGTACAAGGGACAGCTGGGTTCTCTTGGTGTTCAATGGGCCTTTTGCAGAAGAGACCAGTCTGGGAAGGATCAGACAGAGCAACCAGTCCCCACTCAGTACCCCTTGCTATCCGCTGTTGCTAAGGGAGCGGTGGTGTTACAATTAGCAGGGGTATATTAATAACTGCAAGGGCTTGACTTTCAGACACAGTGCTGGATTGTTTCCCAAACCGTCTGACGCAGGCTGAGAAGCATCTCTGCCTGCTGGATACTGCATTCTTCGTCAACTCCAGTTACCCACCCCTCCTGAGACCCGAGAGGAAAGCTGATATTATCATACATCTCAATTATTGTGCAGGTTCCCAGATAAAGGCAAGTGATGGGAAACAATCATAGCAATGGTGTGATGAAGGAGAAAGAGGGCTAATTTGGAGTCGCAGGACCTGGTTCTTTCTTGGACAAGAAAACAGAAACAAAAATAAATTTCTATTTACATGGAACTTTTTTTTTTATTTTGAGAATTTTCCAGTACCTGAAAAATCCCATGTCTTAGAGGGAAAAAAATGTCATGGTGTGTGACCTTGGGCAAGTTACTTATGTTCCCTTGTCCTCAGTTTACTGATCTGTAAAATGAGGAACTGGCTAGAGGAGATGATCTAAGTTCCTCTTAACTGTAGATCTTTGATCCTGTGAATGAGAACTCACTCTCATCTCATGTTTTAAGATTTCCAAAGGTCTTTCCTCACCCACCTGTGAGATAGGTACTACGTGTATGCAGTGGAAAGAATACTGAGCCTGGAGTTGGAGGTCCCTAGATTCAAATCTCTCCTCTGATACTTAGCTTGCCACCTGTGGGACCTTGGACAAATCACGTAACACCCCTGGGCCTAAGTGAGAGGGTTGGACTGTATGACCTTCAAGGTCCCTTCCAGCTGGAAGACTACTTATGATCCATATATCCCCATTTTATAGATGAGGAGGTAGTTAGGTAGAGCAGTGGATAGAGCATGGGGCATGGAGTCAAGAAGACCTGAGTTCAAATGTGACCTCAGACACTTGCTAGCTGTGTGATACTGGGCAAGCCACTTAACCTCTGTTTGCCTTAATCCACTGGAGAAGAAAATGACAAACTACCCCAGTAGCTTTGCCAAGAAAATCCTACAGGGGATGATGAAGAGTCGGACATAACTAAACAAAAACAGCAACATAGATGAGGAAAGCATGACTCCAAGAAAGGAAGGGACTTGCAGACAATCTCACAGGTAGAAAGTATCACAGCTGGAACTTGAACTCCAAGGCACAGAATCACAGATTTAGAGCTAGCAGGAACCTCGGAGATTGCCATACACTTCTACGCCTTCTTTTTAAAATGAGGAAAATGAGGCCCAGAGAGGTTAAATAAAATTTCCCAAGCATCTGACTCCAAGTCCAGAAGAGAAGGTGCTCTATTTTATGCTTTAATCAGGTCAGCCTAAAACAGATTCTGCCTGTACAGACCACACTAAATCCTTGGTCTGAGCCAAGAATTTTGGAATCTCTTCTGAGATCGATTCACTGGGGCATGTAATTTCTTTCTTTCTTTCTTTCTTTCTTTCTTTCTTTCTTTCTTTCTTTTTGGCCACCCTGGAGAACACATGGGCTCTGAGCTGAGAGGACGTAATGTTCTCTGGAATCCTAGACCAAAAGAGGTAGAAGCTTTGTTGTTTTTCATGAATAATATGAGCTCAGTCATCCCAATGACTAAGGAGATATCCAGCTGCTAATCATATTCATCTAAACATCTGGACTAGAATTTTAATCAACTCCATTAGTAGTAGACTCTTATCCTAGACACTGATCTGAGCCTGTTGCATTTGGAAATTCTTCCATATCTTGTGCTGAAGAAAAAAAATGTAATAATTAAGAAAAAAATAGATCTTAATTCTAAAGCTTTATACCTTTTTTGGGGGGGGGGCTAGGCAATGGGGTTAAGTGACTTGCCCAGGGTCACACAGCTATAAGTGTTATGTGTCTGAGGCTAGATTTGAACTCAGGTCCTCCTGAATCTAGGGCTGATACTCTATCCACTGTGCAACCTAGCTGCCCTAGTTTTACATCTTTTAAGGACACCACAGTGTCTTCATTTTTCAAAGTAGAAGGGAGAGAAACTTATACAAAATTACTCCCAAAAAAAGCATGTTACAGGTTTCATATTTACTTTGATTTTTACTTCTCATTTATTCAACCAATATTTATTAAGTATCTCCTAGTGCCAGGAACTAGTAAAGATACCAAGATGAGTAAGGCACAGGTCCTACCCTCAAGAATCAAAGGGTCAGAGACAGTTAGGTGGTGCAGTGAATAGAGCATCAGCCCTGGAGTCAGGAGGCCCTGAGTTCAAATGTGGCCTCAGACACATAACACTCGCTAACTGTGTGACCCTGGGCAAGTCATTTAACCCCAATTGCCTCACAAATAAGAGAATCATAGGGCTCTAGAGCTGGAAGAGGCCCCAGAGGTCATTTAGTCTAACACCGCCTCATTTTACCAATGGAGAAAATGAAACTCAGAGAATCGAAGTAACTCAAGGTCACACAGGAAGCAAGCATCAGAAGCTAAATTTGAACCCAGCTGCTCTGAATCTCTAACCAATGATCTTTCTAATAGTACTTAATAAATGCTTATTAACAAATTGATAGAGTGATAATCGATTAACTAATTATAGTTGACATGGATGGAGGGCTCTGAGGTTTGTTAAGCGCTTCATAGATGTTATCAGATTTAATCCTCATAATAAACCGCTTAATAATAAGTTCATTACTACAGATGTTGTGATTCTCATTTTTATAGAGGAGGAAACTCAGGATCAGATGGGGGTGGGGAGGGTGTTACAGGGAAGATAAGACATATAAATATGTCAGCTATATAAATAGCTGATAGAAGTTTGGTCCTGATGAGGGCAGGAGAAGTACAAAGGGCTACAAAACTGTAACAATAATTAATAATAATAATAAATAACAATATATAATAATATATTGCAAATAATAACAAATAATAATAATAAATAAATATCAATATGTAATATATTGTAAATAACAATAAATAACAAATAATAATAATAAATAGCAATTCCATTTTTATAGGGCTTTTATAGGGAGGCTTCATTGGAAATGCTTTCATTCTAGTTACCTAGCATTCTTTCCTCTGGCTCTTCTTTATTCTGAAAATAATCCAAAGTGACAAACCATTTGGGGGAGCTAAGTTTGTTCCCTTCACCTTGGAAAACATGAAATTGGGTCCAACGGGGTCTTGGGCATTTCTCATAGCAGAAACCAGTAAGGTCTGTTGCATTGAGAACCCAATTAAACGTAAGTATTTATTCAGTGACTATTACGTGCCAGGTACCGTGTTAGGTGCTAGGAATACAAAGACAAAAGTGAAACATGACACTGCCCTCAAATATTTAGTTAACAATTACATAGCACTTTAAAGGTTTATATGAGGAAACTGAGGCTGGGAAAGATTAAGTGACTTGCCCAGGGTCACATAGTTAGTAAGTGTCTGAAGATGAATTTGAATTCAGGTCTTCCTGACTACAGTTTCAGTACTCTATCCTCTGTGCCACCTAGCTGTCACTCAACTGCCTCAGTTTCCTCAACTGTAAAATGGAGATAATATAATAGGGATAATAAAATGGAGCACCTACCTCAAAGTTTTGGGGAAATCAAATGATATAATATTTGTAAAGCATTCAGCACCATGCCAGACACATAGTAAGTACTTAATAAATGCTTTTTCCTTTCTCTTTCCTTGTTCCCCGCTCAAGGAGCTTAGAGTCCTGCCAGGGGAAATAGCATGTACATAGGATGGGGAAGAAGGATTGCACTGGTGATTTTATTGGTAGAAGGAACTCTTCCTGGGTGAAGAAACACCCTCTACCAATGCAGGTTGGCATTTTCTCTGCACTTTAGGTGTTAGGGTGTTCTCCCCAACATTGAGAGGTTAAATGACTTGCCTGAGGTCATATACTCTGTATCAGAGGCAGAACTTTGAACTCAAGTCTCCAGGCTTCAAGACCAGCCCTCTATTCATTACACCATGCGATCTAAAATGTTCCTATAACATATAGGTATATATAAGAGAGATACAAGATAATTAGAGGGTGAGGGGAAAGAAGGCATTATCAGTTGAGGAAGATCAGGTTAGGTTTGTTGTAGGACAGGTGGCACTTGAGCTGAGCCTTGAAAGAAGATTCAGGGCACCTGGGTGGCACAGCCGATACAGCACCACCCTAGAGTCAAGAAGACCTGAAGTCAAACTCAGCCTCAGACACTTAGTAGCTATATGACCTTGGGCAAGTCAGTTAACCCTGATTGCCTTAAAAAAAAAATCCCCCACCAAAAAAATAAACCTGGGATTCTAAGAAGCAGAGTCACATGAGGAGCAAACCTCGGTACAGGTGAGCACAATCCCACTTAAGACTCATGTTTTCTCCTGTAATTTTTTTTTTCTAGCCCCTAAAACAGACCTGTGAGTACTGCAAAGTGCAAAATATCCCCTTCCCCAAATACAGTGTGAAAGAAGAAAGTGAGGAGCACTTAAAGGAGTGTTACCTGTTGACACCTGACGAAGATGCCCCAGATGCCCCAATAATACTGTTCTTTCCACTCATCAATGGCTCTTTCCAAAAGTATAAAGCCCCAGGTAAGTCACTCTCCCTTTCAGAATCACCCTAGGCTTGGTCCCAACGATACTGATAACCGTTTGAATGAGAGCTCTAGAAATAGGAATTCTTTTCATAGGGGCTACAGGAACCTTTGAGCTAATATAGTTCTTTGGTTAGAAAAAGGGTAGACCAAGTTGGCTATAAAGCTACACACCAGAGCTTTTAATCAGAGCAAACAGGGTTTTGCCCCAAGGCAGCGGTGGGGAACATGTGCTCTCAAGACCACAAGTGGCCCTCTAGGTCCTTGGGTGTGGTCTTTTGACTGAATTCAAGTTTCACAGAACAAATCCTTTTATTAAGGGAATTTGTTCTGTGAAGTTTGGATTCAGTCAAAGGGCTGCACTTGAAGACCTAGAGTGCCACATGTGGCGTCCAGGCCTCAGGTTCCCCAACCCTAGAGCATTGAAAGGTAAAATTATTTGTCCGGGATTACTCAGCTAGTACCATATTTCACTGCATAATCGTCACCACCGCAAAATCATTGCATCCTGTTTTTTCAGTTCAAAAACTAGTTTATCACCTTTCATCGAGTAATCATTGCATGGTATAATTGTTTGTCAAGTCACTTAAAAGGTAAACAGAGCAGTACTAAATTCACCAGTGGCATATGGATACCCATTTATCTCTCGTGTGTTGTAAGCCACGAGCCTAGAATTCTCAGCACACTTGCATTGTCAGTATATTTCCAAAAGCTGGCTTGTGTGGTTTGTTTAGAGCGCTGCAGTACTAATTGTATTGCAAGGGGAGCAGGCAGGCAAAGCTGCCATGAGTAAGTCATGTGATATGGTAAGAATTGCATCTTCCACACTAGCTAAACCGTACAGTTCATATGCCTATACATTTACACGTGTAGAACACTTCTTTCTGATTATGGGTAAATATAAAAACTATTCTTTGGGTTTCAAGCTGAAAGTGATTGTGTTCACTGAACAGCATGGAAACAACTGCAGAAAGACAGTTTTCAGTGAGTGAAAAGTTGGTGTGAGATGCAGAAATGAAAAGACAAGTAATACTGGTATAATTTTTTTTAAAAGCTTTACATAATGGTCGCACTCCACATTTTTGCAAAAAAATTTAGCATAAAATCTGCAATGATTGTGCAGGCAAATACAGTATGTTTCAGAGCAGGACTTAAACCCAAGTCTTCCTGGCTTTGGGGCAAGCTTTCTATCTACCACACCTAGCATATACATAAAGGGTAAGAAAGAAGCATGTGATCAGGAAGAACCCCAAGAGTGACCATCAGCTTGGGAATTCTAAGGAGAGCCTGCAAGGGGAGCAGGAACCAGCGCAGAAGGGTCAGACTGCAATCCAAGAAATGTTATAAACCAAACCCTTTCCTTGACTGGATTCCTCCTTATTTGGAAGGATTGATTCCAGATGCTCCACTATCATTGGGGTGTTCCCAGTCCTTGGGAGGGATATAGATCAGAGGTCAGCAGAATTTTGAGAGTGACTGGAGGCCCCCCTTTGCTCTTCCCTTAGGTGTGGAACGCAGCCCAGAAGAGATGGAGGATGGACATGTTGATATCTACAGCGACAATACTCCCTATGCCACCAAGGAGGTAACTTACACAGAGTCTGCTTTTGACCGAATGGTCAACCTCTCTGAATACAACATCTTGAATAATGCAGACATGATCCTTCAAGGCTTACGCCTAGCCATGGAAAGGAAGAAGCAGTTAAAGAAAGCGTGTTCATTGTAATCATGGTGACTCTCTTGGATGGCATTTCTGTTTCTTCCACCATTTCATCAAAGTCTAATGCCAACTGATTAGTTGGTAGAGGACATACTCTCTCACTGAGAGATGGACACAGTCAAACTGACTTGGACATGTACCATCTTCATATACTAGGGAGAGGGAGAGATGTGAGGGAAGGGAAAAGGCACAAAGTAACAAATGAGAGGGATGTTGGGCTTCATACCCAAGATTAAACTATTGGAGTTTTTTTAATTTAAAAAAATAAATAAATAAAACTCTTCCTGAATAACTCCCTGAAATGACAGGGAATACCATTGCCACAGGCTCAGGCATGCCATCATCTGAGAAGGCTAGGGGCTGTGACAGCGGGAAAACAACAGAACCAGAGCTTGTTTTAACTGAGAAGAAACTTGATACAGTAGAAAAAAGGGGGAAAAAAAGAGTATTGGAATCAGAAGACCTGAGCTCAAATCCTAGTTTGTCCATATGTACATATGTATACATATATACATATGTATGACATAGTCATACATACTATTTGTGTGACTGTGAACAAGTCTTTTAACATCTAGTTGTAAAATGAGGAGAACTGGGCTACAAAAAAACATCATTCCTCTATAAAGTGCAGATAAAGACTTCAGCTTCTTCTCTCTCTCATTGGCAGGGATGTCCCAAGAAAACAGGGGATGTGATCTGTAAAGCAGTTTTAAATTTCTCTAGAAAAAAATTAAATTTGTATTGTTATGGTCATTTTTATTGGTCAGGATAATGACAATGTGTGTACGATTAAGCCATCTTGGCATCTTCAGTAATGTAGTCAAGCAGGTCACCAGATTTTAGTTTGCCACTGACCGTTCAGAATTGGAATGGACTCGATACAACGAAATGTTGTTTCATCAAGTAAGCGGGGCTCCAGCATTCACATCTTAGCAAATGCTAGGCAAAGTTCAAGACATGTTTGGATTGCTGATTTTAGGGAATAGCACTGCTTAGGGGCATAGCTTAGAAACTACGATAATGGCACCCCCCCACCCCCACCTATTCTCCCCACCCCCCACCCCCGCCCAGAACAGTTTGAATGAGCCTGTAAGCAGTGAGAGACCTGCAATAGAGAATTCTGAGCCAAGTTCGTGGAATGCCGTTGACTTCACAGAATAGGTGTTCTCGGGATCCAGAAGCCAAGTTCAGCTCAAAGAATACTCTTGGAGTACTTGATTTTGGGTCCTCTTCCAACTCTACCTCTTTCCTTGCCATTCACCATCAGGTCATGATTACTGTTATTTATCATGTAAGCATAATCTACTTAAATTATTGAAGAGTGAGCCAAATTACCTTGAAAACTTATGTAATGAGATTTATATACATGCTGTATCATATGAAAGTAGTAATTCATTAGTGGACTTTAATACTGAATTAGACTGATGGCCTAACAAGTGTATTTGGTTATTCTGCTTTCATTGCCTGATAACACAAATGTGAGTGACCTCCTCGACACTTTCACACCTGGATTACTACCAGAGTCTGCTAACAGGCCTCCGACTCTTTCCCGCTCCAGTGTATCCGTCATATCCTGGCCATAGGACTCTCATGGGTTTGATTGTCATTTCCAAGCACACGCTCCCAGATCTGTATAACAATAATAATAATAATTAACATTCATATGGTGCTTTAGAGTTTGCAAAGCTCTTTTACACGTTTTATCTCATTTGGTCCTCACACAATCCTATGAGTTCGGTGCTATTATTACTGCTGTTGATTCTTCTTTCTTGAAGAGGACCAATGTCATCACGTGGATGATTCACCTGTGAGTGAATTGGATTTGAGTGAGGCGGAGCTGTGCCAAGTCATCAGTCTCAGTCCCTCCCACAGAGTCATCGGAGTCCAGTGGCAAAACAAAGGTCAAAGCCTCGGACTTTTAATACTTACTAGCTGTGTGACCCTGGGCGAGTCACTTAACCCTGATTGCCTCACCAAAAAGCAAAAAAAAAGACAAAGATCAAGATGACTGGTGATGGCCTGGGATGCACTGGGTGACCTTGGCCTTTCTAAATTAAGGTTTTTCCCGGGTGTCAGAGGCCACACCCATTTAATAACTGAGGGGTAGATAAGAATTGAGACAAAAGATGGTTCAACTTACCATCCGAAAGATTTCAATCTGGGAAGGGAAGGACCTCAGAATTTTTTACCAGAATAGAAAATAATTGCTGTTTACACTCATAAGTCATCAAAACCAAAACAGTGAAACAAGGAGGCTTGGGCTAGGCCAGGGGTGGGGAACCTGGGCCTTAAGGCCACCTGTGGCCTTCTTTTTGACTGAATTAAAATTTTAAAAGGATTTGTTCTGTAAAGTTTGGATTCAGTCAAAAGGCCAAACTTAAGGATTTAGAAGGCCACAGGTGGCCTTAAGGCCCAGGTTCCTCACCCTTGCTACGCTTATTATTGGCCACTCCATAAGACATAGTCAAGTAGCTCCATTTAAAACACAATGAGCTTTTTAAAAGCCTGTTTTTCAAAGCTATATTTCAAGAAATCAAATATGAAAACTGCTTTTTGAAGAAGATTCTATTATTATCCCCATTTTACAGATGGGGAAACTGAGTCAGACAGAGGTTAATTGACTTGCCCAGGGTCACGTAGTGTCTGAAGCAGTCTTTGAACTTGAGTCTCTCTGATTCCGAGTCTAGAACTCTGTCCCCTGTGCCACCTAACTGCCTTGTAAGCCTGGTCTCTCTCTTGAACCCGAGTCCTGAATCACGACCTATCTATTGGACATTTCAGACTGGATGTCTTCTATGCATCTCCAACTTAACACAACCGAGACTGGACTCATTATTTCCCCTCTCACTCTTCTGAACTTTTTCATTTCTGTCAAGGAGATCAGCATCCTTCCTGTGACTCAGGTTTGCAACTCATAGTCATCCTTGATTCTTTATTCTCTCTTACCTTTGTATCTTTGAGGCAGCTTGTGGTTCAGTGGTTAGAGCACTGGGCCTGGAGTCAGGAAGACCTGAGTTCAAATCTGGCCTCAAACACTTCTTAGTTGTGTGACCCTGGGCAAGTCACTTAACCTCTGGTTGCCTGACAAAATGAATCCACTGGAGAAGGAAATGGCAAACCACTCCAATATCTCTGCCAAGAAAACCCCAAAAGGGGTCACAAAGGTTCAGGCATGACTGAGCAACAACCCTTGTATCCACTTTGTTATCCAGTCTTGTCATTCCTATCTCCTAGCATCTGTCTGTTACTCTCTACTCGCATGGCCAGCACCCTAATTCAAGCTCTTATTATTTTCTTGCCTGGACTATTGCAATAGCTTTTTACTGGTTTCTCTTCCTTAAGTCACCCCTCAGACATGACTGCCAAAGAGATCTGTCCACAACCACAGGTCTAAGCATATCACCCCTCCGATCAAAAGAGTCTAATGACTGCCTATGGCTTCCAGGATCAAATATTAACTCCTTCCATTTGGCTTTGAAAGCCCTTTACAACCTAGTCATAAACCTACCTTCTTGCTATTCTACACACATAGTGCGCCATCTTCTTTTCCCCTCCATTCATACTGGCTATCCCCATGGGGCAGCTAGATGGCACAGTGGATAGAACACCTGGAGTTGGGAAGATCTGAGCTCAAATGCAGCCTCAGACACTTACTAGCTGTGTGACACTGGGCAAGTAACTTAACCCTATTTGCCTCAGTTCCTCATCTGTAAAATGCGGACACACTGTAGAAGGAAAAGGCAAACTACGCCAGTGTATTTTCCAATAAAACCCCATGGACAAGTCCATGGAGTCACAAAGAGTTGAACATGACTCAACAATAATTCCCCATGCCTGGAATATGTTCTTCCTACCTCTTAGAATTCCTTGTTTCCTTCAAGATTCATCAAAGGGCCACTTTCCACATGAGAACTTTACTAATTCTCATAGGTGCTAGCACTTTCATCACCAAAAAAATTACATATATATGTATGTATGCATATACATACACATCTATATCCCTACTCTTAAGATGCTTATGTTCTAATGGGGAAAGAAAACACACAAAAAGGAGCTAAAAAGTTAGAGATGGGGGTGGGGAAGGTACTAGGTACAGGAAATTTTATATATATATATATATATATATATATATATACACACATATACACACACATACATCTACATCTACATATGTTTGAATATCTATACACATGTGTTTGCATATATCTAGGTCCATATGTTTGCATATATACATATGTATGTGCATACATATATACATGCACAATAGCTATTCCCCAATAGATAAATGGCTAAAGCATATAAACAGGCACTTATCAAAGAAAGAAATTCAAGCCATCAACAATCACCTGGGAAAATCCTCTGTAACACTAATAATTAGAGAAATGCTATGAAAGCAACTCTGAGATTCCACTTCATATCTATAAGGGCAAGGATGGCAAAAGAAGAAAATGACAAATGTTGGGGGTGCTGTGGGAAAAGATACATTTTCCAGACATTCTGGAAAGCAATACAGAACTATGTCCAGCAAGTTACCAAACTGTGAATACCCTTTGACTTAGGTATAACAAAGAAATTGAAGAAAGAGGAAAAGGAACTATATGTTCAGAAATACAGCAGATCATTTCATAGTAGCCCCAAACTGGAAACTAGGGTGGTATCCTCCTACTGGGGAAAAACTGTAGTATATGAATATAATGGATTATTATGCCATAAGAAATTATGAAATGGACAATTTCAGAGGTACCTGGGAAGACTACTTGTGAACTGATACAGAGAAAAGTGAGTAGAACTAGGAGAACAATTTATACCATGGTAACAATTCTTCTGTAGCCTCCATTTTGTGGAGAGTCCTAAGCCCACCTGCCTTAATTCCTCTCCTGGTCCTATTCTTTCCTGACTTTTTCTATACTTTAAAACCATTCCCCATCTACTACTGGCTCATCCTGTACCTCTGTAACTTCCCTCTGTACCTGGGGCCTCCTGGCTCTGGAACAGCCTATCATGTCTATGATCCACTTCACCAAGGAATATCTCTCCTCAAGACCTTTTCCCATTGGTGAGTTACGCCTAGGTCTTCCATTTTGCGGAGGTGCCCATGCTGGCCTGCCTTCATACCCCTCCTAGCCCTTTTTCTAACTTTAAAAATCACACCCCACACCTGGTACCAGTCCCCCTCTCCCCCTCCCCATTTTTTAGCTCCCTTTTGTGTGTTTTCTTTTTCCATTAGAACATTAAGCTTCTTGAGGGCAGGAACAGCCCATCTTTTTGCTTGTATTCCAAGGGCTTAGCATAGTGCCTAACAAATAGTAAGCACTTAATAAATGCTTATTTCCTTTCTTTCTCTATAATGGAGAGAAACAACTTTGAAATACTTTAGAACTCTGATCAATGTCACGACAAAATGTAAGTCCAAAAGAACGATGATGAAACAGGACACTCACCTCCAGATAGGTGATGAACTTAAAATGCAGAGATGTACATTTTTAGACTTCACAATGTGAGGATTTGTTTTGTGAGCCTATGTAGCTATGTATTGAGATAAAAAATTTGCTCAAGTTTTGGGGATGGGAGTGGACAGATTAACTTAAAAAGACTTATTACTTGAAAAATACAAATAACAAACTATTTTAATATATAATATTTTATTTCCCCCATTACATTTTAAAACTTTTTTTAACATTTGGGTTTTTTTAAAGTTTTGAGTTCCAAGTTCTATCCCTCCCTCCCTCCTTTCCTTCCCTCTTCCTTAAGTCGGTAAGCAATCAGAAATACGTTATACTTGTGCAATCACGTAAAACATTTCCACATTAGTCAAATAATAAACTATTTTAAAAGCACAATGTCTAATACAAATAAGAGCATCTGGAAAACCCCACCATAAATAGGGAAAATTTCTTTTATTTGGACTTTCTGTAGGGAATATTTCCTTACATTGGCAGAACTCTTAGGTGAACATGTTTCCCGAGTTTATAATATTAAATAAAACAAAATTCTGATATGACAAAAGACTTTGGTTACTTTCCTGGAATTAATTGTCATAGGTTCTTTACCTGAAAAATTAGGACTTTAGTGGAATTTGAGTGAGGTTGGAGTAGTTTAGCTTGGAATAGGGAAGAGGCATTTGCTAGTTGTCTTCCAATAGATAGAAAATTGTTATCTTGAGAATAATGGCCAAACATTCTCCAACTCACATGAAAACAAAACAATAACACTCCCACTGTGGGAGTTGGTATGTTAGTATGACAAATAAGAAATCGAAATGGTTGGTGGTTTTGAACCTCAAGACAGAATATCAAGGTGAATATTGAAAGTTCCTCATTTTTGAACTTGCTACATATTTTAAAAGAGAAGCAAGTGGTACATAATAGAGACCTTCAGTTTTATCTTCAATTCTCTTTTTTTGTTATACTTTGTATTTGGAAATGTCCATTTTATTTGGTGTAAAGTTTGAAATACAAAACTAGAAAAAAAAGTTCTTCTTTTGACATCTATAATAAGTATAGGATAGATTGTTGTTTTTAAGATAGAAAAGAGGAGACTATACAGTACCTGTCAATTCTATGTCAATATAAATGGTTATAATGAAAGCAATGAACAATTTCCCATTATCATAGAGGTCCTAGCAAGAAAAAATTAGATGACGAGGAGAGAATTTTGTGTTAAGTCATTTTCAG